TCCTTCTCTCTCTCTCTCAACATTTCCTTGTAGGAGCTGACAGAGAGAGAGAGAGAGGGGGCGAGAGACGGAGAGAAAGAGAGAAAGAGAAGGAGGGGCGGAGGTTGTGGGGTTGGGGGAGGGGGGGGGCACACTAAGTTCATCTGAGGACAGGGAAATGCTTTTCTTTCCAGCATGAATCATTTTGGAAAAATGAGCTTCTGGACTGAGTTGCCCCAGTAATTTGGCACGTTTCTCCATTCTGCTTTATTGTCTATTTTGGCTGAACTCACGGTTCTTCGTTTTGCTGCCAAGAAAATGTCAGGTTCTTCAAAGATAGAGCAGGCCATAGCCAGTTCCTGAGTCAACCATGTCCTGTAAGCAAATAAAATAAATAGCAGCAGAATGCCGCCATAGCTTCCTGTTTAGCTGTGAGTTCCAACGGGGTCTAAGCTGCTTCTCTGAGTCGGACCCTATCCAGCGCACACATGGAGAATATATCTGTTTTGTAGAAGGTGCAAGAATTACGTGTTTGTAAAGTGAAACTAATAACTACTACGTAGTGAAGATTTTCTTTGCATTAGGTTTATTTCCACTTAGTCGAAGATGTACAACTTTGCCTTTGACTTCAGGAAAAACCTGGTGGCGTTATACTGATCGTGTACTTATTGTATCAGTCAAGCAGATTAGAAAACACACGTCGGTAATGGAGAAGAAAAAAGGAAGCGTGAGAAGGGAGTGGTAAGAGAGGGAGAGATCGGGGGAAGAGTTTCATTTTACAGTCTGTTCCTTCTCCTACCCCACAAATAATTTAGTAGTCTCCCCCCTGAGAAAAGGGAAGAGACAGGGGGGAGAGGGAGAGGGGGGGTGGCTTTGGATGAGGAAGAGGTGGGCCCAGTCAGCAACAGCTGGGTCTGTCAGCAGTCTTCCATCTCCATTCCCAGCAGTCTAACATCTGGTCCAGCCTCCATTCCCAGCCCTCTATCATCTGGTCTAACCTTCTTCCCAGCCCTCTAACATCTGGTCTAACCTCCATTCCCAGCCCTCTAACATCTGGTCTAACCTCCATTCCCAGCCCTCTATCATCTGGTCTAGCCTCCAATCCCAGCCCTCTAACATCTGGTCTAGCCTCCATTTCCAGCCTGTTAACATCTGGTCCAGCCTCCATTCCCAGCCCTCTATCATCTGGTCTAGCCTCCATTCCCAGCCCTCTATCATCTGGTCTAGCCTCCAATCTCAGCCCTCTAACATCTGGTCTAGCCTCCATTTCCAGCCTGTTAACATCTGGTCTAGCCTCCATTCCCAGCCCTCTAACATCTGGTCCAGCCTCCATTCCCAGCCCTCTAAAATCTGGTCCAGCCTCCATTCCCAGCAGTCTAACATCTGGTCTAACCTTCTTCCCAGCCCTCTAACATCTGGTCTAACCTCCATTCCCAGCCCTCTAACATCTGGTCTAACCTCCATTCCCAGCCCTCTAACATCTGGTCTAGCCTCTATTCCCAGCCTTCTAACATCTGGTCTAGCCTCCATTCCCAGCCTTCTAACATCTGGTCTAGCCTCCATTCCCAGCCCTCTAACATCTGGTCTAGTCTTCATAACTCCATGTCTCTACATTTCCAGTCTCCAAGCATCTCAACCTAGTCTGAATGATGACAGCTCAGGGATGGCAAGCAGCCTAATTACAAAGTCTGATCGTCTCTCCTCTGGCTTTTCTCAGATGGTGATTGTTGATTGACGGGGAGTAGGAAGGCCATTTATCTATCCTGGATTCTTCTGGACCGAAACAGAATCAGATCTCCTGGTTTAGGCATCAGATCTGGCAAGCAGAATGTGTTTTTCATGACGTTGTGCCAGACAAAACTTGATGTGATGAGGCATGAAGCCAGAAAGACAGGTGATCATTTTGCACAAGGGTGTATTATAGCCGTTCAGTCAGTCAGTCGTTGGCCGCGAGGGTTCGGGACATTTCCCGTTTCCCACTGTCCAATTCTAAGCCATTCAAGGAGCGATCAAAAATTATGTTAAGCATTTTCCTAATTAAACGCACGAGGGGAAATCAAATTACAGTCGCCTGTCCGCTACCTACTTTCGAGATTTCTGTGATTTTTATTGAACCGAGCACAAGTCTGTGGCTGAATTCTCTCAACCTCAAGCCAAACTAATACATCTGTGAGTCGGATTAAGCATCGTCAAGTAGAGGGCAGACTTGACAATGAATGAAATTTTCGACGGCACTGTTTGGTAGTCATTGATCAGGATACGGCAAATTCTGCTGCTCTGCCTGAACTGCACGAGACAAAAAATAATAGCCTAGATCGGTATCGAGTCTGGTACTGGCCCTCTTTTGACCACTGGGCTAATTCAAGTGATTGGGCTTCGGTACATTACTGGGAATATTTATTTTTCAATAGGACAGAAGAAATGGCCGTTTGTATGTGGCCCAGTCACAAAGAGCACCGTGAAGTGTGATGTGTGTTAAGTGGGTGCTGGTTTGGCTTGGTCTGGGAGGCTTTGTCCACAACTTGGGCCTTTGTTCCTTTAGTAATGAATTTCGGAGGCCTTGGTTTGAGCGGGCCTGTCTCATAGCAACCGTAGACAGAGTGCTGCCGAGGCAAAGGAGAAGGGCAGAGAGGATCATGGGCAAATGTCTCGTCTCTCTCGGGGCAGACAGAGAGAACGACCCCGGGGTCATTACGGCAGATCGAAGAAGATTGTGTTTGAAACAAGGAGTATATACACTTACATTTGTGTGCTATGTAAAATACTTTGCAACAGATGACACTTGTCATTCATTCTAGCTGATAGTATTTGTCTGTGTGAGTGTGTGTGTGTATGTGTGTGTGTGTGTGTGTGTGTGTGTGTGTGTCTCTGAGTGTGGCGTGTGTCTGTGTGTGTGTGTGTGTGTGTGTGTGTGTTGGGGGTCATTGTTTGCCTTCACAACTTTTTGTCCTTTAACCAATGTCAAATTACTATGTTCCACTTCTTAGCATTGCCCCGGACATTCCAGTTACCTCGTCTGTTCATGTATATCACAAACGTATTGCCACAAATCAGCAGCCAGCCTGGTGAACCACAGGTGGATGTCAATCAAGTCCAGTCGTTAATTAATGGAAAAGCCTGTTTTCCTACATATGAATAACTGTTAGCAGGTCAGCTGGCAGAATCACCTACAAAGGACTGTGCTTGTGTATGTATGTGTGTGTGTGTGTGTGTGTGTGTGTGTGTGTGTGTTCGTGTTTGTGTGTGTGTGCTAGCTTGTGTGTGTATGTATGTGTGTGTGTGTTTGTGTTTGTGTGTGTGTGCTAGCGTGTGTATGTATGTACGTGTGTCTGTGTGTGTTTGTGTTTGTGTGTGTGTGCTAGCTTGTATGTGCATGCGTGCGTGCGCGTGCGTGCGTGTGCGCAGGCAGGCTGTTTATATGTCTGTGCCTCTGTGCTTCTAGAGTTTTACTGTCCAGTGGATCAGCATCCTGGCCATGTTTGCCCTGTGATCCAGACACTACCTGTCTACTGCCATGGTAACAGGGACGGAGCAGGTTTAGTGGCCTGACTCCAAGGATCACTTTCCCTGTGTTAACAATCAGCGCTGGATCACTGCGGCGGTAAAAACCGCTGCCCCTGAGGGCCATGAGAGACCGGGACACGTCAACCCTGGTGCCCTAATGGCTGTTAAACACGTCTTATGTGCGCTGTAAGATTAGTTGTCTGAGCTAATTGCTGTGGTGTCAATGAGCGGCTCACCAATTTGTTACCGGATTCAGTTGGAGTTCTGCGAACAGTGAACGCTGAGTATCTGATGTCATTGGAAAGTACTTTTTGGTATATTATGGCCACAAAGTGTGCCACCAGTGAATATCAGGCAGTACCATTATGTGCCATTATCAGGGGGATATCAGGCAGTACCATTATGTGCCATTATCAGGGGGATATCAGGCAGTACCATTATGTGCCATTATCAGGGGGGATATCAGGCAGTACCATTATGTGCCATTATCAGGGGTGAATATCAGGCAGTACCATTATGTGCCATTATCAGGGGGGATATCAGGCAGTACCATTATGTGCCATTATCAGGTGTGAATATCAGGCAGTACCATTATGTGCCATTATCAGGGGTGAATATCAGGCAGTAACATTATGTGCCATTATCAGGGGGGATATCTGGCAGTACCATTATGTGCCATTATCAGGTGTGAATATCAGGCAATACCATTATGTGCCATTATCAGGGGTGAATATCTGGCAGTACCATTATGTGCCATTATCAGGGGGGATATCAGGCAGTACCATTATGTGCCATTATCAGGGGTGAATATCAGGCAGTACCATTATGTGCCATTATCAGAGGGGATATCAGGCAGTACCATTATGTGCCATTATCAGGGGTGAATATCAGGCAGTACCATTATGTGCCATTATCAGGGGGGATATCAGGCAGTACCATTATGTGCCATTATCAGGGGTGAATATCAGGCAGTACCATTATGTGCCATTATCAGGGGGATATCAGGCAGTACCATTATGTGCCATTATCAGGGGTGAATATCAGGCAGTACCATTATGTGCCATTATCAGGGGGGGATATCAGGCAGTACCATTATGTGCCATTATTAGGGGCAGGGGTTAAAGTGGGCCGGAACGGTCCGGAACTGTGTTCCGGCACCTCAGATAAATGATCAAATAAATAGATTCTAAAAAATCGCGTTCACTGTCAAAATTCAGCAAGCCTGGTTTTCCTTTTGAATGAGTTTGTCTGCAATCAAAACGTAATATCACCCCGTGGCCCCGCCTTCACAAACACGCTTAACGACCAATCAAAACGTAATATCACCCCGTGGCCCCGCCTTCACAAACACGCTTAACGACCAATCAAAACGTAATATCACCCCGTGGCCCCGCCTTCACCAATACGCTTACCAGCGTAATTACGTCATATTCTTGGACTATGCAGCAGTGTAATTAACTCAAATTGTGCATTCGTGACTTATAACAAATAGCTACTACTCGCCTCTGCTGATATATGCATGTTTGGTTCAGTGGTTTGTGTGCTTGGTTCAAGAACTAGAGGTTTGGGGTTTGATTCCCCCAGCTAGCTGCTTCATTATATCTTTTGAAATATTTTTTAAGCTTTTATTTTCTGAATATTACTTTTGTCCATGTGCAACATGTGTCTATTTGCGGTAAAACAGTAAAAAATGTGGCTCTTAGTCTCTGACTAGTTGGCCACACCTGGTCTAGGTTGTGATTTATTTCTGATATAGTTGTCTTCAGCCATTTTGGTGTGTTAAATTTGAGTCAGTTTTGGACAAGGTTGTTTTCCATATTGTGGAGTTCAGCAATTGTACTGTGGTATCATCATCATATCAGTGTAGATGTACATAGACAACTAAAACCATTAAAATATGTAATGAATAAGTATTGTGATACTTGGTGCCACTGTCACACTCTTGTACCAAAAAGTATTGCAATACCACAATACTCATTATGTTGTCCCACGGTGAGTCATTTTTCCCTCTTGCATCTAGACAAAATTTGAGGGTTCCCAAACCCGCCAAATCCCACTTTAACCTCTGATCAGGGGGGAATATCAGGCAGTACCATTATGTGCCATTATCAGGGGGGAATATCAGGCAGTACCATTATGTGCCGTTATCAGGGGGGAATATCAGGCAATACCATTATGTGCCATTATCAGGGGTGAATATCAGGCAATACCATTATGTGCCATTATCAGGGGGAATATCTGGCAGTACCATTATGTGCCATTATCAGGGGGCATATCAGGCAGCACCATTATGTGCCATTATCAGGGGTGAATATCAGCCAGTACCATTATGTGCCATTATCAGGGGGATATCAGGCAGTACCATTATGTGCCATTATCAGAGGGGAATATCCGGCAGTACCATTATGTGTAATTATCAGGGGGGGATATTAGGCAGTACCATTATGTGCCATTATCAGGGGTGAATATCAGGCAATACCATTTGTCCATTATCAGGGGTGAATATCAGGCTGTACCATTATGTGCCATTACCAGGGGTGAATATCAGGCAGTACCATTATGTGCCATTATCAGGGGGAATATCAGGCAATACCATTATGTGCCATTATCAGGGGGGGATATCAGGCAATACCATTATGTGCCAATATCAGGGTGAATATCAGGCAGTACCATTATGTGCCATTATCAGGTGTGAATATTAGGCAGTACCATTATGTGCCATTATCAGGGGGAATATCAGGCAGTACCATGATGTGCCATTATCAGGGGGGAATATCAGGCAATACCATTATGTGCCATTATCAGGGGGAATATCAGGCAGTACCATTATGTGCCATTATCAGGGGGGAATATCAGGCAGTACCATTATGTGCCAATATCAGGGGTGAATATCAGGCAGTACCATTATGTGCCAATATCAGGGGTGAATATCAGACAGTACCATTATGTGTCATTATCAGGGGGGAATATCAGGCAGTACCATTATGTGCCAATATCAGGTGTGAATATTAGGCAGTACCATTATGTGCCATCATCAGGTGTGAATATCAGGCAGTACCATTATGTGCCATTATCAGGGGTGAATATCAGGCAGTACCATTATGTGCCATTATCAGGGGTGAATATCAGGCAATACCATTATGTGCCATTATCAGGGGTGAATATCAGGCAGTACCATTATGTGCCATTATCAGGGGTGAATATCAGGCAATACCATTATGTGCCATTATCAGGGGGGAATATCAGGCAGTACCATTATGTGCCAATATCAGGGGTGAATATCAGGCAGTACCATTATGTGCCAATATCAGGGGGGAATATCAGACAGTACCATTATGTGCCATTATCAGGGATGAAATTTAGTGCTAACACAATCATGTTATTTAATAGTTTCAACACCATTATAAAATAACAATAGAATTGCATGCTGGGATTCATTGTGAAAAAGATAAAGTAATATAATAATTAGGGATTTGGAAACTATCAAAATGTATCAACACAAAAGTGGAGCCTGAAAGAGGAAGGCCAAACATGAGAAAGAAAAGTTGGTATCAAAATAAGCTATGATAAATTCTTTCAAATGCAGTTCAATTGTAGCCATTTCTATCACAATATTTTTCCCCAAATGTACCGCTTGATTGATTTGCGTCTTCACTGTTGAGACTGGTGTTTTGCAGAAACTATCTAATTATGCTGCCATTTGAGGACCTGTGAGGCGCCCGTTTCTCAAACTAGACACTCATTAATACTTGTCCTCTTGCTCAGTTGTGCACCGGGGCCTGCCACTCCTCTTTCTATTCTGGTTGGTGACAGTTTGCGCGTTCACATTGTTGTGGTTGGTATTTAATTAACCAGAAGTGCAAAAGAGTAGTGCAAAAGCTATGAATGTGAAAAGATAAACTGATGTTTTTTACTTGCTTCTGTTTAACCATTTGAATATTGGGCTAAAATTAAATAAATGTTGTATAGTCTGGCCATTGACTTAGATGACTTGGGAAATTTGGGCTCACCAAAAACTCTCTGATTTCCTCCACAGACACGCTTCCACCAGATGATGCATGCAGAGCGAGGCAGCACTCAGAACTAACCAGGCACGTGATTGAAGATGCAGTATCCTCCTTGATGTAAATCTTGTGGGCGGGGTTTCCTCCAGGGGCTATGAACACTGCACAAAGTTTGTAAGATTGCCTAATGGTAATGGCCATTGGCTGAGCAACAAGAAACAATTGTATGTCATTCTGGAACTGCGTCTGCCAAGACTAGCTTCTTCAACTATTGAATTTGCTAGTAAACGGTTTTCCAGTTTATATAGTTACATTAACTCTGAAGTGTTTGTCGCTCTTGATACAGATGAGAAAGATAGGCTGTATAAAGAAAAACAGTTCCTGGGCTATGAATCATGTAAATTAAATTTATATTATAAAAATCTGTTTGGGGAACAGTCAAAATATGTGGGATATATACAGGTGCTCGTCATATAATTAGAATATCATCAAAAAGTTGATTTATTTCAGTAATTCCATTCAAAAAGTGAAACTTGGATATTATATTAATTCATTACACACAGACTGATATATTTTAAATTGTTTATTTAACTAATGACAATCCCAAATTTGCTGGTCAATTAAGAACAGGGATACCATGGTCCTTAAACCAGGTACTGGTAGCTTTGGCACTGTGTGCAGGTGCCAAGTCCTGTTGGAAAAGGAAATCTGCATAAAGTTGGTCAGCAGCATGAAGCATGAAGTGCTCTAAAACTTCCTGGTAGACACAGTGGACCAACACCAGCAGATGACATGGCACCCCAAACCATCACTGACTGTGGAAACTTTACACTGGACTTCAAGCAATATGGATTCTGTGCCTCTCCTCTCTTCCTCCAGACTCTGGGACCTTGATTTCCAAAGGAAATGCAACATTTACTTTCATCAGAGAACATAACTTTGGACCACACAGCAGCAGTCCAGTCCTTTTTGTCTTTAGCCCAGGTGAGACGCTTCTGACGCAGTGTCTTGTTCAAGGGAGGCTTGACACAAGGAATGCGACAGCTGAAACCCATGACTTGCATCTGTGCGTGTCTGTTCTTGAAGCACTGACTCCAGCTGCTGTCCAGTCTTTGTGAATCTCCCCCACATTTTTGAATGGGTTTTGTTTCACAATCCTCTCCAGCGTGCGGTTATCCCTATTCCTTGTACACTTTTTTCGACCACATATTTTCTTTCCCTTCGCCTCTCTATCAATGTGCTTGGACACAGAGTGCAGTGAACAGCCAGCCTCTTTAGCAATGACCTTTTGTGTCTTGCCCTCCTTTTGCAAGGTGTCATTGGTCGTCTTTTGGACAGCTGTCAAGTCAGCAGTTTTCTCCATGATTGTGAGGCCTACAGAACTAGACTGAGAGACCATTTAAAGGCCTTTGCAGTTGTTTTGAGGTAATTAACTGAATAGCGTATGGCACCAGGTGTCTTCAATATTGAACCTTTTCACAATATTCAAATTTTCAGAGATACTGATTTGGGGGTTTTCATTAATTCTCAGTTATAATCATCAAAATTAAAAGGAAATAACACTTGAAATATATCAGTCTGTGTGGAATGAATGAACTTTTTGATGATATTCTAATTATATGACCAGCACCTGTATATATATTTTTAGCTATTATATAGTGCTGATAAAACTGTATTAGAATGAAAGAAATGGCTCCGTGAAGTGAAGGTCAGGTCGGGTGACTTAAGAGTTAAACTAGTGACAAAGCGACATGCGCAAATGTGTTCTGGGAAGTATGGCTTCCGAGGAAAATGTCTGCTAAGTCCCAGCTAACGTGGCTGAAAACCATGCTGAGGCTGTAAATGAAGTTTGAGGGTGGAGCAACATGATTGTGAGGTTACTAGAGGCTCCGCCTGCTCTTAAAGAGATATCACCAACACATTTGTGTGAAAATTACTTGGGACAGTATATCGCACAACTTACCAATAGAGACATCATTTGGAGGCTGTAATTATGTATTTTGAAGGAAATGTTTTGTTCACAGGGATTTTCCAATATTCAGCTTTTTGCTTTTCCTAATTTACTTTTTTTAAGTGGTGACAAACCATTCCAGTTGAGTAGAACTAAAGAAAACGTTTACACACTGTTAAAGGGATTATTTTTAGAAACCTGCCAAGTGTTCACACCACTTGTTGCCTCTTTGTCTTCTCTCACTGAACAAGACCAGTATAGTACTGGGTAGTCCAGGGGGATTCAGGTAATAGGGACAGTACAGACCAGTATAGTACTGGGTAGTCCAGGGTGATTCAGGTAATAGGGACAGTACAGACCAGTATAGTACTGGGTAGTTCAGGGTGATTCAGGTAATAGGGACAGTACAGACCAGTATAGTACTGGGTAGTCCAGGGGGATTCAGGTAATAGGGACAGTACAGACCAGTATAGTACTGGGTAGTCCAGGGGGATTCAGGTAATAGGGACAGTACAGACCAGTATAGTACTGGGTAGTCCAGGGTGATTCAGGTAATAGGGACAGTACAGACCAGTATAGTAAGACAATACTCTCTGATAAATGGACAGGTGAGAAATTTATTTAGCAGAAAAAAA